GGAAACAAATGCTAGCTTTTACCACTGTTTACTAGAACAAATTACTTAACTTCATAGGACCTCAATTTCCTTATCTATGAAATAAGCAAGGTGGCCCAGGCCAGTAGTTCTGTGCATTTTTAGAGACCTGGGTTCCTCAGCGGGGCCTTCTTGGTGGCACATTTGTTGATGAAGAGGTGGGAGGGAAGGAATAGGTCTCAAGTTCTGCAGTCTGTTCCAAACTAAAATATATTATGATTCTGTAATCAGTATAATATAGGACAAAGTTTTTTATGGCTATTCATTTTTTTTCAAGATCCACACTTCCTTGAGTGCTCATCATTGCTGTCCAGGCCTTTAGGTCTCAGGTTGTAATATTACATCCCCTGACTTTTATTTACTACCTACCGCTTGTAATAATTCAGACTTATTTTCTGTGTATGCAATATCCCAAATTTGCTAAGTTACTGAATCTAGCATAGAGCATTTTTATTTGTTTAGTTATAAATTTGTTTACATACTCTGTGTTCATGTAAGACTTGCTCTTGTCAACATGACAGTGTTAGTGCAGATATTATATACTATCTAGAAGGTAGCTATCCCTAGGTCATGATATCTTTTGGTCTTTCTTATGTCTTGAAATTAAAAGTTGGTCATTTTATGACACATTTTAACAATAGCCAATTTTAACAAAATAAATGTTGACACATTATTTCACAATTTATTAACACTGTCAATATTTAGTGCTTCTCTAATACTTTTCTTCTCTAGTGTTAGTCTGTTTGCATTGTTTGGTATTCTATACTAAAACTACAAATTCTTTTCATTTGGTGTCTATGCTAAAACTATGAATTGAGTTTAGTAAAAATTTTTAAAAACTTGGTTAAAGGGAGAAAATTTCTTACTTTTTCTTCCACTTATTTTTTATTTTTATTTTTTGGTGAGGACGATTAACCCTGAGCTAACATCTGTTGCCAATCCTCCTCTTTTTGCTGGGGAAGATTGGCCCTGGGCTAACATTTGTGCCCATCTTCCTCTACTTTATATGTGGGATGCCTGCCACAGCATGGCCTGATACGCATTGTCTGCTCCTGAGATCTGAACCTGCAAACCCCAGGCTGCTGAAGCGGAGCGTGCGAACTTAAGCAGTACGCCGCTGGGCTGGCCCCAACTTATTTTTTTAAAGCTCCTTTCTTCATTATTTTTCTTGTTTGCTGGATTTTACCTGTATTTGTCTACAAGCAAGTGCTCTTACTAATTTTCTTGTGAAGCCTCATCCTGTATCATCTTACGTCTTTATGCCCTGCTCTCAAAAAAATACGAGCCAGCTTTTAAGGAGATCCAAGAGAACAAACACCATAGCCAAGACCACAGAGAAACTGCTGTGCTAACACTTGATCAAAAGTAAACTAAAACTCTGCAGTTGGACCTTTTCCTTCATTTAGTATAAATAAGCGTCCTTTGTGATGGGCTCTGGAGATGCATAGATGAGTAACACTGGAAGTACTCTCCTTTCTCAGACCTTTCTTGGGGGGCAGAGAGTTGCTGCTTCGTCTCCTGGAAGAGATTCCTAGTGAAATATGATGCCCAGTGTGACCATCTCAGTAGTGTCCAGCACATTGTAAAAACTGTGATTCATTCTAACTCTGATGCTTGATGGCAATGTCTTAGCCCAGAATTATTTGGCTGTTCACAAAAGTTCGTAAGTTGCACGCACTCCACTGCTAACACATACAGTTGTCGCCTAGGCATGGACAGCTTTTACTGTGACAACATACTGATGTTAATAATGATACTGAAAAACAATAAAGAAGGTAAATTTTCTGTAATTATATTTCTACAATCCATTCTAAATAAAGAATTTACTGTTATCCACGTTATAGTTTGCCTCATTTAAGGTTAGCTGAGAATTGACTGACTTTCAGTCTATCAATGAAATATTTCATCTTCATGGAGAGTAGTTTGAGGTGTTAGAAGTTAAGAATATATGGCTTACACGTACGTGTTGAGGATCAGTTATAAAAGTATGGTTGTATAATTTTGTCCTTAGAACTTTAGGCATTTCAATTCCAGTGAAATGGAAACCTCTACTCCTTGCTTTGTAAGTAAAAATGATATTAAATGTCTAATGTTCATCTGATTGGCAGTGATTCAAAATTTGACCTTTGGGATTGATCCTTTCCCTTAATTGACACTGACTTGAACCATAACTGATATATTTTGAAAGTTCTTTTTTTAACCTGTTAGGTAAACAAATGAAAATTATTGCTGGGTAATACAAATAGTACACATTTATAAGCATCTTTCCATATCTGCTTTGGTTAACTGTGACAGGTGAAGGAAGTGATATCAAGGCTGCTCTGCAGGAAACTGCTCCACAGTTACAAGTTTAGTGGATTTTTTCTGTTTCAGTACACAAAATAAGATCTGTATAGGGCCTATTGATTATGCCCAAGCAAAAAGACGGCAGTACAGAACAAGCATGAGTCCTATTTTTCATATTTTCCACCATGAAGGCCCCTTTTTAACATCAGGCAATATCATATACCACTACATGGTAGTAATGCTTTTGGTATAGATTGATGTGAAAATTTGATAGACAGCTCTGATTCAATAATATCTTCAAGTGACTTTATTAATCTAGACACCACTTGTGGACATTTAAAGCAACGTATTAATTCAATTTTCTCCTTACGGTAAGGAGAGTATATGTCATTTTACATATTTTTCTCATTGTTCCTTGAATAGGTAAAAACTTTCCTCACTAGCATTTGTGGTCTTTGGTCATTGACATACTCAAGTAGCAGCTAAGTTCAATGGAGGCATTGAAGGAAGAAGAAGGAATTAGTTATGCAACAGATACAAACAGCTTTTATTTTGTACTTGGTTTTTTAGTAAAAACTTGGGTTTTTAGCCCTTTGAACTTGATTTCACTCTTAGTACAGTTGATGTTGAAGAGATTTTTCAAAGAAAAGATTTAAAATAAACCCTTGGTTATTTCATGCTTTTAAAAAGTGCTTAGCTGTTTCTTTTCTGTTGATAATGTTTTGTTATATATATATATATATATATATACACACACACACACACACACACACACACTCTCAGGTTTTTTATGATAATTTTAACATCAGAAGATAAGTCTCGGTTTACCTAAAGGATAGATGTACATACCTTTACTATAAGACAGAGTTGAAATTGTATTTTGTCTTAATTGCTAGAATTCTCTATCAGTGAGATAAAAAAGGAATCTGAAAAGACCTTAAGTTAATCAAACAATTGAAACTTTATGAAACTTTCATGAAATTCATACTCTTTTCACTCCTGACTTAGTTCAAATTGGGATGCATTATTTATAAATTTTACCATCACGTCTTCAATACTGTGATCATCATCATAATACAAAATGTGAAGCAAGGAGCAGGACTGTTTAAAAATGGCCCTGAGTGTTCATTGAGTTCCCTTAACAGTGAACAATAGAACCAGATGAACCATCTGGTACATTCGTTCCATTCCTTTCTACCAGCAGGAGTATGTGTACCCAAGGTGAACTTACCTCTAGACTAGTGGGTTCCTTCTCATGCCTGCCCGGACCCTGTGGTCTCCAGCTGCTGGGCATGTGGTTTCCAGCTATCACCAAAATTGAGAATGCTTGTTCCTCCACTGATGAGAGTGCTGTTGTTCTTGTACTAAAAGAGAGAAAACCAGGGTAGTACTTCAAGACTGGCTCCATTAGAAATTAGGGGATACGAACCAAGAAAGTCAAAAAAGGAGAATTATAGTGAGTTATAATAGGCAAACAAGTTTTGTTTTTTACAAAGCAGCTTCTGCCATAGTGCAAATAGGCCTTCCAGAGGACCGTGTCATTTGTCCTGCAGTATTGTATGCAGTACCTGCAGCATGCAGGTCATTAGAAGATACAGAGATGGTTGTCACCTAAGAACTTGTCTGTGAATTATGGCCCTTCTTTTTGATGATGCAATATTAACACTTTAGAGTAGGAATGTGACATGGTATTTGATTAGATGTATAATCAGAATTTTGACATTCGTCAGAGATTAACAAGAGGAGTAGGGTTCTGATAGGAAATGTGTCACATCACTGGCTACAAATCAATTGATTGTGTTGTGGTTCTGATGGCAACTGCCTTACATACCCTGGTGAGGTTCCTTAGTAGCTTTTTAAGCATTCTGCTCTGGAGAAGAGGAATCTTTAATATATTCTGTATAGATTAAAATCTAGAAAAGATGATATCTGGAGTGTTTTCTGTGTTCAAAGGAGGTTTCAGAACATCTACCACTTAATAGAAGAATTAGGCCTTAAAAACTACTTATGAAAGAAGTGATTATTTAGTGTGTGCACCAGAAGTCGGGAGAGGACTGAAGAGGTTTTGTTGTACAGATAGCAGAAATAGTATCTGGTCGAAAGAGTTATAAAATCCAGATTGAAAAAGCGTTAAAGACTAGTTGCTTATTTATCTGTAAATTAATGGAAAGAATGAAAAACTGGTGGAAATATGTCTTATTAGTGACAGGGAAGACTTTTCAGTTTTATGTTTTAAATTGGATTTTTAAGTGGAAGGAAGAAAATATCTTGGTACATGTTGGTGGGAAAACTTGCAGGTGTAAAAACAATGATAGAAAAGTTAATTTCATTAGTAGAAATGGCAAGCAGGTGTGTAAAGCACTCTTTTTTTAAACTTACATTTTATGTCATAATGTCTTGGCAAGATTAGTATTTGGATTTTTCCCCTCAAACTTAGTGTAAGTGACAAAGTTCTCTTGTGCTTCCTTCTTACCCATTTCCCACATTTTTTTGTAAGAGAGCTAGATAAAGAATATCAAACTTAGAGCAGATAGTCTTGGCATCATCAAGTTCTCTTTCTTTCTGTATTTAACAATCCAGTAATAAATATCCAGTGAATGATTCTCATTAGAGAGCTAACTAATAATCATTGTTGAAAGCATGTAATTGTAGTATGCAGCAGTGTTAAATGTTTATGGTTTGCTTTCTTTTTCTAGAACACAAAGTAATTATAGTGGGACTGGATAATGCAGGGAAAACCACCATTCTTTATCAATTGTAAGTATGCGTGTTTGTTTAAACAGTTTTCGTTATTTTAATTATTGGAACTAATTTTGTATAATTAATAAGATACCATTAGAATATAATGGAAAAACTTAAATATATGGTTTGTATTTTACCAAACACAAAATTTATAAAAAAGTGAACAAGATAAACCACTGTATGTTTGTAAGGCCTTCCCAAACACTCGTCGTTTTCTGGCCTTGAAAGAAAGAGTTAATATTAAACTAAAAAAAATAAAGCACAAATTATAATGCTGGAGTGAGATGATAATGTGCATTTCGCTTCATTCTTCCCACACTGAGGTTCATGCGAATAGATTGCTCTCTCCAGGAAGCAGTTGCTGCTAATGGCTCCGGAATTGTTGAACATAGCCAGACTTGTCAAATCAGAAGAAATGGAGATCACCCTTGAAAATATTGCGTTAGCAGCTGCAACAGGGAGATGCTTGAGACTTTCAGAGAAATAAATACATTACTACTTTAAGGAAATTTTAACAGCCCATCAGTCCACTTGTCAAAGAACCGCCCTTTATCCTTTCAGTGCCAATGAAATGATCCTTGTTAAGCAATGGAAATGGATCTCTGTCCCAAGCATTTTAACTAATAGTTATAAAATACAGTGCACCAGTGTGTGGCTCTTATTTCTTGCCACCTCATCTTAAGTAAATCAGCTAACAGCTTTCCAGAAATACTTCACTTAAGCAATCCTTAATATATTTTTCAGCTACTTTGCTAAAAAACTACTAACTTATGGCTTGTTATTTCAGAGCTGAATAACTACTTGTTTTTCTTTAAAACATCATTCAATGGTCGTTATGTATTTTAATATGACTTGGCCTTTAAACACCAAATATAAACATTTCAGAAACCTGTCACGGTTGTTGAAACAAATTTGCATATAGCTTCAAAAATATATATAAAACCCAAGAGAGAATTGCAAGCTTCTTTCAACACAGTACTGGCATTTTAAACGCAAATACATATTTGTTGAATGAATGAAGTAATGTAGCTTAACCAAGGATTATGACAATAAATGTGGTATGATCATCAGTGTTGTCAATATATGTATAGGTAATTTTAATTAAAATTTTCATTTGCCCATAGCCTTATCTTTTAAAGACTGCAGTTTAGGTTAAGAGTCTGAACCAATTTTTATGGCTGAACCAAGTCTCAATTTTTTCACATAAACAGTCTTCAAAATTATAGATAGCCTACTGTGATGTCACAGTCACCCAGAAACTTGCTCTTTCAGGATGGGGCATCGGTTCTGCTCTGATAACAGGGCATGGTGGTATTGGAATTTTGGCCACAGAAATGCAAACTCACACCACATGGTTCCCCTCTATCAAGATCAAGCTTGTAGTTGATTCCATTAAAAGAACAAAAAACAGTCTTCCTTCAAGAGTTGTTCTTTGTCTAGATATTTGTTTGCACAAATGTTCTCCAAGGTTCTATTTTTGATGCTAATGATTACTGTCATTGACACAAATGAGGAAGGTTGATTCATATTAAAAGTGCAGAGATAAAACTTGCTTCAGGTTCTCAAGATTTACAACAGAGTTTTTGTGGTGTTTGTCTTTCAACAGCTTAATGAATGAAGTAGTTCATACATCTCCAACCATAGGAAGCAACGTGGAAGAAATAGTTGTGAAGAACACTCATTTTCTTATGTGGGATATTGGTGGTCAGGAGTCGCTGCGGTCATCCTGGAACACGTATTACTCAAACACAGAGGTATGCTAAAATTACTTCTGAATTTTAATAAAAAGAACCAAAGAGTAAACCCAGAAAATAGATAGGCTGTACGTAAGGCGTATCGACAGTTGCCTTTTAATAAGATCCTTTTTTGTAAGGAATTTGAAATTTTCAAATGAAAGAGAAAAGGCAAGTAGAAAGAGGAATGGGAGCTGTTATTCGAGTGCTTATTGTTATGCAGGCTCTTGGGTCATCTTCATGGGAATACTGCAGTGTCTCCATTGTTGGAGAAATCAGACACTAGGATAAATTATGTAACTGTTCCCAGCTTTGTAAGAGGCCCTGGTTAGGGGAGGAATAAAGTATTTTAAGCATAATTTAGTACACAATTTTCAAATTACAAAAATGAACATTCAAAATTTTGGTGAAATAATATTTTAATTAAAAAACAAATGGGGGGCTAGCCCCATGGCATAGTGGTTGAGTTTGGCATGTTCTCTGGCGGCCTGGGTTTGCAGGTTTGGATGCTGGGCACGGACCTACACTGCTCGTCGACCACGCTGTGGCAGCAATCCACATATGAAAAGTAGAGGAGGATTGGTGCAGATGTTAGCTCAGGGCTAATCTTGCTCAGAAAAAAAAAAAAAAAAAGGATTTGCAGGCCACTCCCCGGAGTTCTCTGTCACTTATTTCATTATTTTACTAGTTCAGAGCCAACCTGGAAAACGATCTGGAATATCTTCTATTTCTGTTTTCATTTCTTCTTAGAGGCAGATTTTTTTTTAAATCATGCAGTGCTATTGAAAGGTTTCTTTGAGAATATTAATGTACAGTTGCATCCATAATTTTTCACAAAGAAGGGCACCTAACCAATAATTTTTTCTAAAATGAAGCCTCTTAAAAATTGAGTGGTTCTTTTTAGAGATGGATATGGAGGAGGTGGAGGTGGGATGCCAGGAATTTTTGGTGAATAAGTTGCCTTTTTAAATTATTGTAGTAGCATATGTGTATGTGTGTATATATTCTACTGCAGTGTGTGACTAGTCAAACCAAGATGGCATATCATAGATATCCAGCAGTTGTGGTAATGCTTAATTTTTTTGATTTGCAGGGGAGAATAGGTTGGTAAGCAAATATTGTGGTTATAGGTTAGCTTAATATATATTTTTACAGTAAAATAACATTCTGAAACTAAAATATGTTAGACAGTAGGGGAAGAACATTTTAGCATGTGACTGTTTAAACAGCATAGCTGTTAGTACTTTTTCAAAGTTCGTAATAAACTCCAGGTGTGAAAAGAGCAGTTCTCTTTGATGAATAGGTCAAAGTTGATTCTAGCTGATCCGTGTATGTTTATAGAATTACAAAGGGGTAGTTTTTGAAATTACTTAAACTCTAGAAGACTTAGTATGGGTCCAGAAAGAAATACATTATTACTGACGCTATTTGCATGAAATGTTCCTTTAATAAACTATTTCCGTATGGGTTTCAAAATTATCACAAAGAACCTTTGGCCTTCATTGCAGCACACCAGTATAGCACATAGCATGTGCAGTCTTAGATTCCAGCTAGGGATGTTATCCATGTGGTGGTGCCCTGACCGCTTTGTTCACCCTTGTGTTGCTTCTTAAATTCTTTCCATTGAGGAGCCATCCAAAAGCTGAAATGTCGCCATTAAAATACAAGGAGTTATAGCTGTTGACTAATTCCTCACACCTTTGTCTTATTAACTTAGAGTTACTTCCCCACATTCTGTCCGTTGTAACTTGCCATGTTTCTTATATTATCCCTTCAATTTTCTTTCCTTTTGTCCCTGTCTAAGCCCTTCTCAGTTTATATTCACATTACTCGAGTGGTCTCTTTCCCTAATTTTAAGGTCATCTGAGTAATCTGATTCTACCCTTGTCTCAATTTATTTTGCATCACTCCTCTGCTGTAACCCTCAACCCATTTAATCTCATTTCTTAACTTTTTCTTCTGTGTAAGATGTTCGATTTAGGGGCCGTTTCTCACTATCACTTCTTATTTTTCTTACCAAAGATGCTTATTTTTTTATTTGTAAGACCCACCTTTTTTCACCCTTACCAACAGCTTTCTTTTCTCTTGTCTCTCCTTCAATTTCTCCTGCATCTGCTTTAGCATACTATTAACACCTAAGCATATATGTTTCCATTTAGCACATTTTTTCTTGTGCTTTTATTGTTGATATCGTTATGTAACAGTTTTATTCATTATTAAATGTTTCTTTAAAAATGTGTTTCTTTTTCTTTCAGACTAGCTTGTGTACTTCTTTCTAATAGGCAGGAGACCGTCTTATACATAAGTATTGATTGCTTAAGTGAATGATTGTAGAGCACTTTAAAGTGTTAGAGAATTATTTAAATTACTCTGACTTTCTTTTTATCTTTTTTTTTTTTTTCCTTGAGGAAGATAGGCCCTGAGCTAACATCTGCCAGTCCTCCTCTTTTTGCTGAGGAAGACTGGCCCTGGGCTAACATCCATGCCCATCTTCCTCCACTTTATATGGGATGCCTCCACAACATGGCCTGACAAGCGGTGCGTAGGTGTGCGCCCGGGATCCGAACCGGTGAACCCCGGGCCGCTGCAGCAGAGCACTCGCACTTAACCACTTGCGAAACCGCTTGCGAAACGGGGCTGGGCCTGACTTTCTTTTTAAAAATTCCTTTTTTATTACCTGCGTTTTAAAATAAATCTTAGTATTATGGAGTATTATGTATTCAGATATCACTTTTTTTCATAAACTTGGGGATGGTTTTTATTTGTTGAAGTTATGAGTTGTTTTCTTACTAACGTTTGGATTTTACTGCTTGATGTGATTCAGTATAATATAAACTCTTTATGATGAAAAAGCAGTAGACTTATAATAATGATGCCGTGTGAAGAAAGTACTTCTATCACTTGAGAGTAGTTTTGCAGATAACTTCAACATCTGATTCACTTTTCTTTCTTTGTTTTTAATTGTCTTCTAGTTCATCATTCTGGTTGTTGATAGCATTGACAGGGAACGACTAGCTATCACGAAAGAAGAATTATACAGAATGTTGGCTCACGAGGTAAATTTTGAAAGCAAACATAAACAATGGAGTGAGGTATCTGTATACTGGTTTTGCTTTTTTAGAGAGATTAATATGGTCTGCTGTTATTTCATTAACAAAGTTTTATGTATTAAATTAATGAAGTCTTGAAGTCAAAAATTATCATTACTTTTTGAAACTTAAAAAAAACTCAATATATTAATTTGTAGACTACTACTGTTATTGAAAGAATTTTTCAAAGTTAAAACTTTATTCATTCTTTAAAAAGTCTGATAAATTGAGTCAAGAAAGAGGAAAACTCAAGTGTTTTTTCCCCAAGAGTTTATAACAACTGAAAATTCTTTATTGAATAGTTTGAGATCACTTAATTCTAAATATTTCAGATATACAAAAGGCTTAGATAATAAAACACATTCATGCACTCACCTTTCAACATAAGATATTAAATATCTTATGAGACCCCTACAATCTGATTTTCTTCCTTTTTCTCGCAGAGAATCCTAAAAGAATCCCACTGTCCTAAAAGTAATGATTAACATTCCTATGCATATTTTTGTACTTTCACTGCATTTTTATGTACCTGCTGATAGTACAGAATATTATATTCTGTGTTCATAAAACTTTATGTAATGGTGTCATATACATATATATATATATCTTATATGTATATATCTTTCTGTAACTTGGTTTGGGGTGTATTTTTTAGCACAACATTATGACTTATCCATGTTAGTACATACAGCTTTACTAGTTCATGCCTTTTAACAACGATATAGTATTCCACTGTATGACTGTACCACAGTTGATCCGTTCTTCTCTTAATGAACATTTAGGTTAGTTCTGATATCTTGATAGTTCACAAAATGCTGCAGTGAACATTAATGAATGAGCTTAGGTTATACAAAGACTAATAAGTAATAAGTATTGCCCAGCCCTCACCCTCAGTACTCTCCTTTAAATTTTGGAGAATCTCTGTGGTATTTGGCAACATATTTGGCTCATATAGTTTTAAGCCAGTATTTAAGATTCAGGTTTATTTTACTTTTCGTTTGACCCCTTTGGCCAATGATAGAAAAATAACTTTTAATTATCTAGCTTATGTTAATTAATCTGTCTTTGTTAGAGTGAATCATTCAATCGTGGTTGAGATAATTTCTTTTTATTTCAATAAAATTTTGAAATCAAATATCAGTAGCTCATCATGTTAAAGTAGAGGGATTTTCTTACAATCGTCCAGTAGGGCACATTTCCCCCTCCTGCTTCATTAGTTTAACTGCATCGTGGTGTTTCGTGTATTGGAAATATTCTTTATTGATTGCAGGATTTACGGAAAGCCGGGGTCCTTATCTTTGCGAATAAACAGGACATGAAGGGGTGCATGACAGCAGCTGAAATCTCCAAATACCTCACCCTTAGCTCCATTAAGGATCACCCATGGCACATTCAGTCCTGCTGTGCTCTGACGGGAGAAGGGTAAGTGCTAACCAGTATGGGGCAGGTGTGACTTCTTTCAGCTTTTTTAGGCCAACTTGTTTTCCTCTTTGATCTTGTTCCTTTTTTGTTCTTAATTAAAGTTACTGTTTATATTGTGTCTCAGGCTTACAGGGCTGAAATAATTTTAGTCAATTACTGTTGTTAAATTACAATTTAACAAAGTTACTGACAAATTTTTTGTAACTTTTAATATACACAGAATGTTTTACCAGAAAAAGGCAATAACAAACCTTTGAATCAAGTTTTCACAATCCAAATTTTTAGCTGTTATTTATTTCTTGTTTTCATCGTTTACTAACTGGGAAAAAACTAATGTCGCCTGAATTAAAGAAGAAGCTTCAAAGAAATGTCACATTTTCTACAAGGGCTTAATTAAGCCTAAGCTCCCAGCTTTCCACAAGAGTATATCTCCTTTATTTTCAGGAGTCCTTTGGGGAGGCATATTTCTCGACAATAAACATTTCAGACAAATGCCATTGTAGTGTCTTCTTCCTTTTCTAAGAACTGGAGTTTGGATGTAGTAGGCCAAGGGGAACCCAGTGGGTTATACATAGATTATCCAGTTTATTTCCAGGAACTTATTTATCCTCACATCAACCTGACCTTCTAGTTTTTCTCATACTGGAAATAGCTTGTAATATAATAACTATATGTAGACTTTTTTGACCTATACTTTTTTTTTTTTGTGAGGAAGATCAGCCCTGAGCTAACATCTGATGCCAATCCTCCTCTTTTTTTTTTTTCCTGAGGAAGACTGGCCCTGAGCTAATATCCGTGCTCATCTTCCTTTACTTTTTATGGGTCGCCGGCACAGCATGTCTCCACAAGCAGTGCGTCGGTGTGCACCTAGGATCTGAACTGGAGAACCCCAGGCTGCCCCAGTGGAGCGAGAGCACTTAACCGCTTGTGCCACTGGGTGGGCCCCTTGACCTATACTTTTAAGACTGGGCCGTAAGCATTCTATCCTTTAGAATTTAGGAGGGTAAAGTGAAGTTCCTGTTGTCTTTCTATAGTGGTTTCGGTTTTAGTTAATCTTAAAAGGCGAGGAGGAGCATTTGCAGTCTTGGTGGCAAAACCACCAAAGCTGTATCTTCAAGGTGAGACTGACGCAATTTCCCACATACTCAGCTGATTAAGATCATTTTAAGTGAATCTTCTACTTAAAAATTCCACTTACTATAGTGTCACCTGAATATTGTCACTTAAGTGTGTATAATACCAACCTTTGGGTAAGACTTAAAAATAGTAAGTATGCTTTCAATTTTTAAGTATAAAGCTTTTCATTTTGAAAATACTTCTGTCTTTTGTTTTAGGTTATGCCAAGGTCTGGAGTGGATGACTTCCCGGATTGGTGTGAGATAACTTTTTTGCTTGAAAGAGACTGCTCTATTTATTCTGTGACATGAACATTTTTTCCTAGTACTTTGGCTGCTAAGGCAGCAGCATGTTTAATTTATAACAACACAAACCTCTATGAGCAACACTTGAATCAAGTGCAGCTGAACTGGAACATAAAAGATTTTTTCTTAACTTTTTTTTTAATGCACTAATCTTCAGTTGGATGAACATAATGTGTAACTGTGTTTTCAGCAACAGGATTCTTCTGACTGCTTATTCTAATTATTCAGTGACTGCCTTGTAAGAAATGTTTGTCATATGTTTAATGTTTTCTGAAGTATGGTAATAACTTTAATGACCAATTTCTTTCATTTCCTGACCACCCCTGCCCCCACCAGATAATTAACTGGTCTGACAGTGTAGTAGTGGAAATCATCAGGTAGTGCTTGCAAACTTAACGAGCACTGAAGATTTGCTTCCTTTGTAAACCACGTATCTTTTGGACAGAATTTATTATAAAGAAATCTGCCTAGAAGATATATATAAGAAAGATTAAACATCACGAGAACTGCCTTTAAGTGAGTTAGCTTCCCCCACATTATTGCAAGTCATGGAATAATTTTAAGCTACTATTAGCGTGGAAATTAAGTAGGCTATTTATCTAAAAGAATTAAATTCACTTTTCTGCCTGCAACATGGGGTTAGTTTTGGTTAAAAACTAATCAAGGTAAAATATTGATTGGTAAAATAGTGATTTGAAGGTCCAACTTTGATAATAAATATTTTGGATAAATCTGGTATTTTAAGAATGTCACATTATTCAATGCACATAATAACTGTCAGAAGTTATTAAAGCATACCAGCACTAATACTAAAACAAGACACTTGGAATATATTTTAGTATCAATTACAAATGTATTTATCAGCAAAACGTTCCACTATTCCATTTGCAAGGGACATCACATCTGTTTTGGGCGTTAGCTAAAGCAGAAGTATAAACAGTTCATTTTATTTCTTAAAATTGGAAATTGTGTCTGTAATAGTATTTCTACCACCAGCAGTATATTACTTAAAAAACCATGTGACTTTCCTTAAATCTATTTGAGGTTGTAGTGTAATAGGCTTGAAACAATTGCTATCTTTGTGGTTATGCCTCTTGTTGTAAAATCTTTTGCTGGATTCTAGGAAACTGCTGAATTTAATCCTAGCTTTTACAATATTACTGTGATACTCAAAGTTAATACACTAATGACTTAAAAAATATTTAGGAAGAAAAAGTCATAATCTATCAAAAGTTTATTTATTGGATAGCATTAAAAAATTTTCAAGACAGTTTTCTAATGTGAACAATTAATAGTGTGTACCTTAAGAGGGAGGACAAGTATTATAATTTTGATCCTCTTTATTTCAAATGTATCATTTTGCTATAATGAAAGGGATAAAATGCTTACTTAGAGAATAATACTTCATTTTTGCAGTATTTGTTTTCATTTGGGTCAAAAATAGGATTCAGTGTTCATAAGACTATCAAAACACCTGTTCAAAAATGGAATTTTAATTTTAATATTTTTTATTGTAAGTTTAAATTTTGCTCTGTTTTCAGGTATACTTGATTTCTTATATTTAGTCTAATTAGTTGAATGTGGTAACATTTTTCTGATTTCTATTTAGTGGTAGCACACTCTAGGACTGAGAAATGGCCAGAGGAAAGTTTTCTGGAGTTTGGGAACTAGTTGTTTATTAACCTTGTTTTGAACCTTTTTCTTTGTAATTCTGTACCAGGTAGAGGATAAATTTTGTTTTTAATATAACCCTTAATCAAGAACATGGGAGAAAAGCAGACATAAATCAATATGGATGCTTTGTGGTGTGTATGTGGTGGTGGGGTGGGGAGTAGGAGGAATTATGAAAATATCATTTACCTAAAGCACACTTTGCTGGAATTTCTATCTTTGTTGTGTGGTTTAGCCATAAATTCTGAGGATAATTCTCTTAACTCTGTCCTGAGAAGAAGCATATTTAATACTCCTGTATTCGTTCTTATTATGAAATTTGTCGTCTTGTATCTAGTAGGATTGGCTGGCTCAATTTTCTTCTATCAAATTATATGGTTATTTTTTATATTACCACATCAGCATTATATTGAAAGTGTTTTTAATAGTTGATTGTATTTTGTCAAACAACTACTAGTATAGACTCAAGTTTGCTATTTAATTTTTAAAACACAATTTTTTTTAATTTTCTAAATCCTTTTTAAAACACGTTTTGTTAGTTTTGGATTAGAAATGCTTTATGTAGCTGTGTGTTGAAGATGAAATTGGCATTCAGCTAGATTTTGTGCCAACAATTGAGAAAAGTTCAGTTAGGAAATTCATGTGAGAATTTTTAAAAGTATTTTATAGGTTCTCCTTAGATTATTTCCTGTTACAATAATATAGAAACTGATTATCCTTTACTCCAAGAGAATGTTTTAACCCAAGCAAGTATCTAATACTAAAACATTGATTCTGACATTCATTGTAAACCAACGGACTATAAGATATTGTCTGATGAAAAATGTAAATTTGTGATTAGTGCCTTTATTCATGTTTTGAGATGAGTTCTCAATTTTGTACTATACCTGTTCTTTAGAAATCAGATTAGCAGCTAATTAATTTAACAATGACGTAATTCGAGTTTCACCCTCCCTGTCAACCCTTCAAGTTGCCTAGCAAAGTTTCTAGTAAGTAGTGAAAAGGAAGGGACCCACCCACATTGCTTTCGGGAAATTATTCTACATTTTGTTTTTAATTTGAGGATGAAGAAACTAAATTTTAACAAATCTTTTCAATATGTTATAACTAAAATGTAACTGCTTACCCTTGTAAGTTCAAATATGACATTTTTTCTTAATTTTGAACATGTTGCATTTTAAACCCATCATTCTTATTGAAGCCCATCTGAGAACTCTTAGAATTAACAGACCCTTTTATATGGGAACATATGCATCATTTTGTATTGTTGGTGTAATTTAATTCCTTAAAATCTGACATAGCATGTATATAATCTATTGAAAAACTGATGATTAAATACATAATTTTTGCTCTTAGGTTCTGTGTTAGTATGCTTGAAGATATAATTTTATTCTGTATTCATTAGAATAAAAATAATAAATTCATTTCATTGTTAAATAATTTTTAAATGGGCACTGCCCCTATAGCCATAGTCATTTTGATTAAGCATAAATTAACTTTTGTTATCTATAGCATAAAGAGAAAATAATTATTTTCCTATGGAAACAGTGAGTGATATAGGCAGTGCTGTAAACAATATTCTCTGAAGAGTTACGGGGAATCACAAAGCAAAGAAGATTTTAAAGAAAACAGTAAAAGCTTTATTTTTAAAAAAAAATCTTTTGGTGTAGTATCTTAGGACAAGTTATAAACAGAATTGTTTCTGACTAGCACTCATTTAATTCTTAACTATATACAACCATATCGTTAGAAAAAATGTACTGGTATTATGCCTATAGATGGATAAATTCCATTGACATTTATCTTTGAAATCCAACTGATGAAATGTAATTTTTCATCTATGGCTTTGGATCCAAGACATTTCACATCTAGTTCAATTCTAAAGGCTCTTTTATATTTTGTCAGGGTTAAGTCACTTCAAGATACAGCTTGGTAACTTGTGTCTAGTGGAATATTGTGCTGACTGTCTAAAGAAGAGGATTTACGTCTTAATTTGGCCATTATTTGTCTTGTTGGCCTTAGACAGTTACTGTCCCTGGCCTTCCTATTTTTCCCCAACCGAGGAACTTAAGCAGACGAGCGCTCCAACATGTCTTTTGGTTTTAAAATCCTGAATCCTTGTATACTATATTAAAATTGAAAACCCAAAAAAATACTAGCAAAAGGCACATAATAGGAAATTAAATTCATTTTTAGCTATTATTTGATTCTCACCTCATTTTCATTTAGTATATGGATACAATCAAATAAGAAAACAATGTATCAACCAGTAACTGCTACTCAATTTAAATTGAGCTAATAGCTAATGACAATACAAAAGAGAAAATAAGCCATATTGCAAGAAAGTATCTTAAGCTGGTTATAAAATACCAGCGTGTGTTGGAAATACTCTCTTCTAGAGAATACCTTGCTTATTTTCCGGGCTCTTACTAATTAGAAGTGGTTAGTTTGTTCAGAGTTTATTGGCTTCAGTTGCCACCCCAAACTCCAGTTCTGTTTGACTTTCCAGTATTGAAAGGATAGTGCAGCCAGGATGTCAATATTTTACAAATGTCTGTATAAATCTTAGGGTAGTTTATATTCAAGGTTAGTTTTTTCAGTAATGTCTCATCCTTATTCATTTAGCATTACTGTGAGGACTGAAATCCAAAAGTCAGGTTCCCCGAAAGTATTTTCTAAGAGTTCCATGTGGCCAAAGCTAAGTAGAGAAGGCCAGTAAAAAAAATAATATTTGCAACTCCTCCATTTTAAATTTAAAGTAGAAAACATAATGTATTCAACAGACCTAAAGCCGTCTTTAAATGTATATGGTTTGGTAAAATTTTGGGGAAATGTTAATTTGGAGGTATAGAGGCACACCTAGAAACAAAAGTCAAAACACTTGTTAGTAAAGATAAATATGAACTAGAAAAATCTTCATAAAGATATTAATAGAAAATTTGATTGAAAACTGTGTGAATTTCTGCCCTTTAAGGCACTTAAAATTACTAGAAAGTACAGTCTCTCACTGTAGAACCGGATGGCCTATATTTTTAATGTGACCAAAGGACTGAAAACTGATCAGGTTTTTAGAATTTGGAAGTATAGTCACATAGAGACATCTTCTGTATTTTTTTAAACCTATAATCTACATTTTATCCTAGAAATGGAGAAAAAATAAAATGTGCTGTGCATATTTTTTGGAATAGAAAACAGAGTTCTAGAAGAATGGAAATGTTCTCTTGCACAAACTTGTAAAATTTTAATTAGAAAATTACCTCATTTTTCAATCCATAAGGTGCTTTGCTCAAGCTTGTGGGATGTTACACCATCCCGTAAATACCCCCTTCACCCAAACTGTATTTGAAATACACAAAATTCACAGGTAAGGGAAAGCATTCCTTGGGGATTACGTTTTGTTTTAGCCTTGTTTACCACCAGCAGGGCTAACATGGTATAGCAGGTCCACATATTTTCTTCATTAAAACACACAGGCAAGGGCTCAGTCAATATTTAACTAGTTTCATTAAAATCAAATAAGGGAAAGGAAAAACCTTAAAATTTGATCGATTATGTTATACTGTGAATATATTTCCATCAGTGTTGGTGAGATATCAAATGACTATCAGTTGCTCTTGGCTATGTATCATTATTTGCATATTTTGGCCCTGTTCATAAGAAACTATAATCATGTTAATATTCTTACATTTTCCCTCCAAAAATTCAGGGACTAGTTTGTTCTCTTGGAGTAAACCATTCAGTGTAGTTATGAAAACTTTTAGTTTTGATTTAAAAAAAATTAGCTGCTATTTCATTAAAAGTGTGAAATAAAATGACGGTTATGATTTTTCCCAATTATGTAATAGTTACATAAATTTTACCCTATTCATCTATTGCACAGAGCATGGTTTAAAAAAAAACTCAATTACAGCCTTGCTCTTTTATTTATTCTCATCAGAATATGATAATTATAATCACACATTGCCATCTTAACATAAATTGGTGCTTTAGAGCATTAAAGAGGAAACAGCAGCCCCTGTGTAAAAACTTCTTGCCTCAGAATGTAAAACTGCTTTAAGTGTGTGTATTTATGTTTATGTTCATTTCTTAAGGTTTAAACACGAACTGTTGTTATCCATCAAGCTGCAGGCTTTCTGCAAAGCTGTAACAATGTCTTAGCTCATCAGCTTGCTCAAACAGAAGATGGAGTTAATAAGGCCAAAATTATGAGTTGGATCTCTCTGTGAGTCCCTGGTATTGTACAGAGGAAAGAAATGTCCTTCACGCCCCAAACTGTGCTTCTTAACCCCAACCAGGCAACTGAAATGTTTGCTATTGGGCCAATTTATAAGCATTAATAAAGAAAATTAAAAAGAGCAAATAAATTGATGTGTATTCACATCATCACTTCTTGAAAATGCTTCAAAGCATGTTCTTCTAATGGTGGGGTTTAAAAAACATGTTTTAAATTTTTTAATAGCTTCATTGCTGTCATAAAATGCTTCTTTTATATGTTAAGTTTAGATTGCTGGTGCTTATGATTTTTTATTTCCACAATTATGTTATAATGAGTTGCTTGCATGCCTGCTTACCCAAGTAAAAGGATGCTGTTTGCTCTGGAATGTTCATCTTTTAGACAGATTTTGGCTCATTTGCAATCATGGTGCAATACAGTGTAACATTCATTTGTCTTCAGTCGACAGTTTTATTTTTGTCGTAATAAATAATTACTTTTCCAATATGATGTGAACCTCGTGTTTTCTTTTAAAGATAAAAATCTGTTTTAACAACCTTTTTGTTGCAAGTGATAGAAACCCACCTAAGCTAACAATGAGGGGAATTTTATTATAAGGATGTGGTTATGTGGTAGGTGTTCATGGAACCCAAGGTCTGGGGTACAACTAGATTTCTGGAATAGGCTGGGAGCAGAGACCCAGGACAACTGAGGAAAAACCAGGAGGTTATCTTTCTCCTACTCATCTCTTCTTTCTCAGTCTTTCACTGGGCTGGCTTTTTTTGTTTCCTAGTTCACAGGACAGATAATCTCCAAATCTAATAGCTCCTACAGTTTTATTTTTGTACAAGGGAGAAGTCAGATTATCATTAGGTTCTTAGTTACAGTTTCATATTCCCCAGGGAAATTGTTCATTTGCCTCCATTGGGTCAGTTACTCTCTCTGGTCTAAATAACTGTGGCCTAGCAGAAGGTACATTTACCAGAGAAGGGGAATCCCAGGGCAGTAGGAAGGCAATCCAAGTGGGTGTGCGTGGTATAATAGGAAATATAGTTGGTCTTTGTCCACTGGTTCTGGTACAAAGCTCCTCACACCCTTGGAATTTCCTGAATGATAGGAGTGTCTCTCGTCATTCATAAAAAGCCTCTTGAGTTTATGCTAATGAAGTGACTTAGAGTGGGGCCCCTAGATAGCCTTAGGATGGGGCTAGTCACCAGAAAGACCATGTGAGTAGAGGGTTGGTACTTTCAGCCCTACTCACCAACTACAAAAGGGGAAGGGGTGGGATGGGGGTGGAGTGCTGCTGATTACGCTCTGAAAACTCTTGACCAGCAAGATTTGATAAGCTTCCAGGTTAGTGAACACATCCATGTGCTTGTAGGGTGGTGCACCCTAGTTCCATGGGAACCCTTCCAGACCTCGCCCTACGTACCTCTTCATCTGACTGTTCATCTGTATCCTTTATAATATCTTTTATAGTAAACTGGTAAATGTAAGTAAATGTTTTTCTGAGTTCTGTGAGCCACCCTAGCAAATTATTGGAAGCCAAGGAGGGGATTGTGGGAACCTCCAATCTATAGCCAGTCAGAAGCACAGGTGATAATCTGGACTTTCCGTTGACATCTGAAGTGGAGGGGGACAGTTTTGTGGACTGACCCTTTAACCTTTGGGATCTGATGCTGTCTCCAAGTAGATAGTGTCCGAGTTAAATTGTAGGATACCCAGCCAGTGTCTGCTCAGAATTGAATTGCTTGGTGGTGTCGGAATGTGTGCTCCGTTGTGAGATACAGTTGGGATTCTCTACACATTGCACGTACTGATAAATAAATAGCAAGCAATGGGATATATTGGAGTATATGAGGAAGCCATTTGGTGTAAAACTAATTCGGCCTGACCTTCTTTTTCCAAAAGGGCCTGACCTAGCTGTTAAGCATGCATTGTATATCTGCTTTAAGTATTTACTATGCCCCAAAGACAAGAACAAATGTCCTTAAGATAAAGATGTAACTTCCCCCACATTGGCATTTCCTTAAGGATAAGCATCTCTCCCTAGGCTAGGGATTGATTGCTGACCTGCTGTGACCACCCAACTTGAGACCACAGACCTGCTACCTGCTATGTTCCTCAATTGCTGTGTGAATCACTGTCCCGGCTAGGCAATCTCTTGACTGTTGTAAAAGGGACATTCCA